ATTGTGGTTTGCCTTCTCTCTATATAACTATATTCCTTTCCAGAAATAGCTATCATGATTGCTACTGAGCCCTAGTAAAGACCGAATGCATAACGATGAAACACTTGGTGATCATACAATCTGAGCTGCCCATAATGTACAGGATTTTATGTGATTCATCAAGTTATAAGATTGTTCATGTCTGACTAAAACACCAAAAGCAATGGCAACAAAAGCCAAAATAGACAAATGGGATATAATCAAACTAAAGAGATTCTGCACAGCAAAAGAAACTATCATCAGAGTGAACAGGCAACCTACAGAATGGGAGAAAATTTTTGCAATCTACTCATCTGACAAAGGGCTAATATCCAGAATCTACAAAGAACTTAAACAAATTTACAAGGAAAAAACCAAACAACCCCAACAAAAAGTGGGCAAAGGATACAAACCGACACTTCTCAAAAGAAGACATTTATGCAGCCAACAAACATATGAGAAAAAGCTCATTATCACTGGTCATTAGAGAAATGCAAATCAAAAACCACATTGAGATACCATCTCAAACCAGTTAGAATGGTGATCATTAAAAAGTCAGGAAACAACAGATGCTGGAGAGGATGTGGAGAAATAGGAACTCTTTTACATTGTTGGTGGGAGTATAAATTAGTTCAGCCATTACAGAAGACAGTGTCGCGATTCCTCAAGGATCTATAACTAGAAATACCATTTGACCCAGCCATCCCATTACTGGGTATATACCCAAAGGATTATAAATCATTCTACTATAAAAACACATGCACAACTATGTTTATTGTGGTACTGTTCATAATAACAAAGACTTGGAACCAACCCAGATGCCCATCAATGATAGACTGGATAAAAAAAATGTGGCACATATACACTACAGAACACTATGCAGCCACAAAAAAGGATGAGTTCATGTCCTTTGCAGGGACATGGATGAAACTGGAAATCATCATTCTCAGCAAATTAACACAAGAACAGAAAACCAGGCACCACATGTTCTCATTCATAAGTGGGAGTGGAACAATGAGAACACATGGACACAGGGAGGGGAACATCACACACTGGGGCCTGCCAGGGAGTAGGGGGCTAGGGGAGGGATAGCATTAGAAGAAATACTGAATACCTAACGTAGGTGATGAGTTGATAGGTGCAGCAAACCAGCATGGCACGTGTATACCTACATAACAAGTGCAGCCCAAAACTTAAAGTATAATTTTTTTAAAAAAGATTGTTCATGTCCAACAATATCCCACAAAGAAGTGGAAGTGTTATAGACAGAAAGGGGATCAATAAAATCCTGAAGGCCCAAGTAGTTTCCATAAGCAGATTAATCACATCACTAGCGTGTCTGCTGCTATCACACTGCAATCTCTTTCTCACCCAAATTGAGTCTTCCAGAGAATTTCTTATGATTCCTTAGTAGAGAATAAGAAACTTTAAGCCTCGTTTACAAATGTTCTGAATGATATGTTGTTGTAATATAGATTCGTGCAGGACAGTCCTCTGAGGATTCTACCTCCCAGGAGGTAGAATTTAATTCATGAAGAGAAAGGTGACCTGAAGTATGCATCTATAGTGATTCATGGGAAGTGACTAATCGCTTGGCTGGATTTTTCAGAGATATTAAAGGAAAAGGATTGGAGATTGGTGGCAAGGAAAATTGGGTATCAGTTATGTGAATAAAATTTTCAGAAGTGGCCCATATTGGGTTCAACATTGAATACACAACAAAAGGTCCCAACTGTGGTGAAAATTATCAGTAGTCAGGTGGGTGAAATCACTGACTTGAAGGTGCCAGTCAGCCTCTTTCTCTAGTTTTCTCAAGTCCTTGTTCAGTATGCTCAATAGCAAAGCACCCATGATGGCAGGGATAAGGGTTAAGCCTGGATTCAGCATAAGTGCTTTATTTCACCAACAGTGACCCAGCCAGCCAGCACCATAGCTGAGTCCTTATCATGCCAGCCACAATGACCAATGATTAGCCTTTAATAAGATGACATGGCTGGGGGGGATCAGCCAGCCAGCTGGCAGTAAGTTGATTGCACTGGACTCTTTTCATCATGGGGTGGAAAATGATATTCCCCTCTAGAATAAACATTTATTGTTGAGCCCCTTACAAAGCTTTTCTTTTTTCTGCCTGCCAATATTCTGTTAGCAACACCATGTGTGAATTTACTAATCATCCTATTCACCACTGTGAGATTCAACATAACATGATTTCTAACAAGAAAATTTATTTTACAAAGAGAAAGAAACTGATGCCCATGTATTCACTGTAATACCATGTATCCCATGTCCTAAAATTAGTTGGCTTTAGCAAATGATGGAACAGTCTATTGAAGACCGGGAATATCATTGAAGACCACACTTAGTGAAGATAATATGCTGTTCTATGTGGTGTTTGTTCTCCTGTAGTCAGGAACTGTGGTTCCAGGAACTAAGAGGAGGAAGTGGAGTAAAGCTGCCTGTCTTGTTATTATACCTAATGAGCCATTTACAAAGCTTTTCTCTTTTCTCTCCCTATGACTTTGGGATCTAGAAGCCTTACTACCCAAGGAAGGAAACCTAACCTGGTAAACCAATATTCCTTCAGACTGTTCTGAGTTTTTCATGTCATTAGGCAAAAAAAGTAAAAAAAAAAAAAAAAAAATAAAAAAAAAAAAAAAAAAAAAAAAAAAAAAAAAAAAAAAGGCGAGTAATTCTATCACCACAGAGGCTGAGAAAAATATGTATTTACTCTTAGAAATTCTCTAAAATTAAATTTTAAAAGAAGATGTGAAAAGATGTTTTACAAAAGGAAACATTTTAAAAATGACTAAGTGGATGAAAAGATGTTCTATATATTTAGTTATGCAATATAAACTAAAACTACAAGGAGATACTACTGCTTACTGGCAAAAATGGCTAGAGCTAAAAACAAGTTACCAAGTGTTGATGAGGATATGGGGCAACTGGACCTCTCATATATTGTTGGTAGGAGTGCCATGTAGTTCAACAGCCTTGAAAAATAATCTGGCAGTTTCTTATAGAGTTGAATATATACTAACCATATAACCTAGCATTCAACTCTTAGGTAATTAAAAAGAAGTTTTATTCATAACGGTAAAGATCTAAATATTCAACAGTAAGTGAGTGGATAAACAAATTAGGCATAGTTATGCTATACTAATCAGCAACAGGTATGAATGCTAATCAGCAGTAGATATGAACTAGTGAAACAGAAAAAAACAAGAATGACTCTCAAAGATGTCAAGCACGAAAAGAGTACACAATAACTGATACCATTCTGATATCATTTATGGCAAGTTCTAGAACAGGTAAGATTAATCAGATAAATATCAGATCAATGATTGCCTAAGTGAGGGTGAGGGCATGGGAGTTGACCATAAATAAAAAAGTCTTGGGGAACTTTCTGGGATAATGGATATGTTCTGTGGTTTCCTGATTGAGGTACGTATTAGTCAAACCTCATTGAACTGTTCCCTTACAATGTGTTCATTTGATTACAAGTAAGTTACACGTTAGCTGATTTTAAAACTCAAAAATAAAATGATTTTTCCTTTCTCTTTGCCCCATTACTTCACATTTTTATAAGTATGTTAGTAATGGTTAGCTTAACACTCTGATCCACAGCATATGAAATATTAAGGTAGGGATTGTTACAAACCTAGAGAAGTTATAAACACATCTATAGGTCCTGGACTTCGAGGCAAATCCAGTAACTGGGTTAACGCCACTGGGGGAAGTGGTAAGTGATGTAAAACGTAGTGAAAAAGTGTGGCATCTCCAACCTCTGGTCCCTTACTATGCAGCAGTGTTTTCCTAATGGACCAGTTTTGTGTTTTTTACCTATTGGTTCTGACTGTATAGACCTGAATCTGATTTTCTCAGAATCCTGGAAACTCCGTAAGAAACCAAACATCAATTAAATAAATTTTTCTTCTTACATAAGCCACATTTGATTTTTGTTGATTGCAAAAATGCTGACTGATAAAGAAAGGCTTAGGGAAATGTCCTAGAGAAGGTAATTCTGAGCTGTGTCTAAAAAAGTCATTACAAAGGAAACAGAAGATATAGGGCAGGAAAGGATCCTAGATGAGAATAATGGCAAATATTTGGGTGTGGATAGAACTTTAATTTCAAACCAGAGAGTCACTAAAGTTTAAGCTGGAAGGGTCTGCAGGAGACAGATAATGTAGGATCTTATGTGTTATATTAAGGAGCTTGAACTTTATCGCATAGATGATGGAATGCCATTAAATGGTTTTCAGCAGGGGGATGACATGGCCTCGTTTGCATTTTAAATAGACCACACTGGCAGCTGTGTGGAGAATGGGTTTGACTGAGATATAAATGGAAGCAGCAAGTGCTTTTAGCAAGTTCTTTTGGTAGTTCTCATGAGAAATGATAAGGGTCTAAACAGAGTAATGTTCATCTAGACAGAACTGACGAGACAAATTTAGGAGACCTTTGGTGGTACAATTACGAAGACTAGGTATTTGAAGGTGAGTGAGTCAGAGAAATTCTAAGTTTCTTCAGCAGGCTATTGGAGATAGCTATTGAAGAATGGTGTATTCTAATTCAGTTGATATTATTAACAGCAATAGCCCACTAGGGAAACAGAGGAGGGCTCCATTTAGATGAAAAGACGAGATCTTTCCAAATACATTGAGACTGCATACATATGGTACATCCAGGTGTAAAAGTCCAAAATTTACATCTTGAGAAGGCATCTGAATGCAGGATAGATAACTAGACTTGGCTGTTGATGTAAGAAGAGAAAATTATTTGGTGATAACTCATCACAGTAGATTAAATAACAAAGGGAAGCATGTAGGGAATATGGCTGCCACATGTGGCCATGCAGGTTGGGCACTGCAATCATTCCAGGTGATCCTGGTGATTATATATACTATATATATTTCTATGAATATAAATATTTATATTATATATATATATACACACACACACACACACACACACACATACACGCCTGTGGGCTGAGGACAAAATCCTTGTGAATATACGAATATCTGTGGTCTGAGGACAAAACCCCTGTGAAAAACACATTTAAAAGGTAGACATATTAGAGCTCTTAAAGTCAGGGAAGAAATGGTCAGAGAAGCATGAGGACAATAAGAAAATATATTTTGCCCCATAGAAGAAATATTTGTTACTTTCATTTAACGGCAAACAACAGTAAAATCTACTACAATGACTTAAATAGAGATTTGTTGATCTCATACAACAAAAAGTCTAAAGGAAAAGAGTCCCAGACTAACATAGTATTTCTCCATTCTCTTTATCATGGGGCTGTGTCTTTATGGTCATAATAAAATTACTACATCTTCAGGCACATCCTCATTCTAATCGGGCAAAGGAGGAAAATTGAAAGAGGCTGATATTGCATGCCTGCTATGGTAGACTAATTGCAAAATTGTTTCCAATTACTTATCTTTCCCTGAATCCACACCCCTTATAATAGGATTTTAATGTTGCAGATCCTCTTATCAGAGGTGGAGTCTATTTCCCCACCTTTTGAATCTAATGTGACTTATGACTTGCTTTGGCCAACAGACTGCAGTGGAAGTGGTGATGTGTCCATTGCCAATCTAAGCCTTGGAAGATCTGTGTGTTCCATGAACTCTTCTGGAACTCTGCCACTGCTACATGTATAAGCATGCCTCAGCCAACAGCCAGCCAAATCCCAGGAGCAGATCTATGTAGGTGATCCTAAAATAAACACGTAAGTGAGCACAATCAAAACCAGAAAACCACTCACCTGAGTCTAGCCTAAACTGCTGACTTACAAACTCATGAGCTAAATAAATGGTTGTTGTTTTAGCCCCTAACTTAGGGGGGAACTTTATTTTGTTCAAATGGTAATTGATGAATAAGTAGAGTCAGATCCTCTAAGAAATCTTTCCTAGGAAACTTCCAAGTAAGGATGGTAAATTGAACACACACACCTTACATTTCATCCTATGTCATAAATGAACTTAAACAATTTTAGAAGGGCATAAATCCACAAGGATAGGAAGAATGGACAAGATGCAAAATTTTGGAAGCTGAAAAGCAAATGGTACAGAACAGAAAATTAAAATTCGAAGTAGAACTAAGAAAACTTAAAATCACTCATTTTATAGATCCTCTAAAAGGTTAAGAAATGTATGTTGCAAGATTTCTCAGTTAGTTGTTATTTGAATATAGGAAGGCTACTGACAGTGACAGAAGGCAGTCAAATGCTTAGGCAGAAACCGGCAGGTCCCTGGTGAAGCTCCACCGCCAGGCTGAAGACAGTTTAAAGGGTGAAAGCCAAGTTACAAGGCAAATCCTTGGATCAGATTGAGAACCTGTCTTCCTGTTTGGTGTACTTTCCTCTGATTGATCTCCACCCTTCACCTATTTTACATATACCTACCCTTTCCTAATAGGTTTCCTACACTGTGATGCCCACTTTTGAGTGGTGTCTTTGCTTTAAGTTTTTTTTTGCATACTCACAAACCAGTCAGCACTCCCCATTCTGAGTCCATAGAAAGTCCCAGACCCAGCAACACTGAAAAAGAAAAAAACTACCCTAATGTAGGGTTAGAGGACCACCATCCCCATGCCCCTTCCTCATCCCTTCCCCACTGAGAGCTGTTCCATTCCTCAATAAAATTCTTTTCCGTCAATCCTAACCCTTCAACTGTCAGCATATCCTCATTTTTCTTGGATGCAGGGCAAGAACTCGGGAACTGCTGAAGGTGTTTACAAACTATAATACAGGTTGGCGGGGGGGCACCTGGCCCAGCTATGGGCCAAGCTGGTATGCAAGCCAGATTTGGCTCTGGACTGAGTAGGTGGGGTGCCTCCAGTGGCAGGCCTGGGGGCAAGCAAAGGGGTGGGGGGCAAGGGTGTGTCACTGGCTGGAGGTCCCAGCTAACAAGGCAACCAACAAAATTCCTGCGTCACTTCTGACTTTGGTATATTGTATTTTTACCAACCATCTTAACATTCTCCATTGGTTTTCAGTTCATTTCCAGATTTACAATTATCTTAGCTATAATTATTTTATCTCTTCCTTTCTAAATTTTATACTTATTATTTATTTTCTAATTATTTAGGGTAAATCTCCAAAACTATGTGAAATAATAGGGAGCAATTATAAAATTAAATAAAACATATGACCAACTAAAAAGAAGCAGAAAGAAACTTTTTGAAGTAATCAAAATTTTGGGGGCATTGTGGTTACACAGGTATATACATTTGTCAAACCTTATCAAACTGTGAACTTAAAATATAAGCATTTCCTTGTATGTAAGTTATCTTTCTTCTAAGTTGGTTTAAAAAAAGAATAGTGGTAATACTGAAAATTCTATTTCTATTCTTATCTACAATTGGAATTATTTTAGTTTCCTCATTAAATGTGATGCTGACTTTTGTTTTGAGATAAATTTATTTGATTGTCTTAAGGAGATATTTATTCCTATTTAATAAAAAGTATATGTTAAATTTAGGAACTACATTTTGAACATTGATATGGACTGAATTATTTCTCTCTAAAATTCATATGTTGAACCACTAACCTGAAATGTGATAGTATTTGGAAATTCATGGGGTCTTTGGGTGGTATTAAGGTTTAAATGAGGACATAAGGGTGGGATCCTCATGATAGGACTATGGCTTAACAAAAAGAAACACCAGAGAAGTCACTTGCTTCCTTTCCCCCATGTGAGGACACAGTAAGAAGGTAGCCATCTATAAGCCAGGATGAGATCCCAGAAACTGACCATGGTAAGCGTGATCTTGGACTTCTTGCCCCCAGAACTGTGAGAAAGTAAATTTCTATTGCTTAAAAGCCACCCAGTTTATAGTATTTTTATGGCAGCCTAAACTAAAACAAATACCTATAAAGCTAATTATTTTACCTTTATCCTGTAATCTATTAATTTAATATATTCATATATTGCCACAAGTAAACTATCCCTGACTTCTTTGTGAGGCCTGCTGAGCCACAGCATATCATGCTTTAAATGTGCTGTGGGATTCCATTTGCCAAGAACTCCTTTTGTATTTTTACATGACAATTCATTAATAATTTGTATTTCTTGTGTCCTTTTTTGGTTTGATTTTATTATCTAATAGTATACTAGAAAAGAATCCCTTTGCAGCTCTGAGTCCTCTGCATTAATTTGTCTACTTAATTTTGTAACTTTTTCAGGGTCAATTTCTGTTTTTTTAAAAAAATTACCTACTTTATAGAAATTTCAGATTCATCTAAATAATGTTACAATAAATAATCTCCTAATTATTTTCTCTACATCTCTTGGTCCCATTTTATTTCTTTTGAATAAACCTGCTTATTTCCCCTCATTAAACTTATTAAATCTGTAACTCTGTGTTATAATTATTACTTATTTTAGCTTTGTTTTTCTAATTTCTTGATTTGGATGCCTTGCCATTTGTTTTTATACTCTCTTGATTAGTAATATGAACGTTTAAGTTATGAAATTTACTGAGGACAGCTTTAGTTATATCCCATAAGTTTTGATATATAGTATTTTATTGTTAATTCATATTTATTTCTCCATTTCAATTTTGATTTACTCTTTGACCCAATAATTCCTATGTGTCTCTTTTCAAGTTTCCAAGTAGCATAATGTTGTTTTCTTTTGTTTCTTATTTTGCTATTATTATCTAGCATTGAAATATCTTGCATTAAAAAGAAATAAATTTTGATTCTTTTTTGGAAATTATAGATGTTTTCTTTGTTGTCTATCTGTGGGTATTTTATTGGCATTGAAGATAACAATATTGTGTGTCCAAGTATAAAATTCAATCAGATTTTCTATATCTACATGTATATTTCATTCTTTTGGGCTGAGAGCGACAAATTAAAGTCTCCTACTTCTAACATGTATCTAATATTTTTTATGTATGAATTTTGATATTGCTATTTTTACATGGATATTCATAGCTACTGGATCTTTATCATGGATTTTACCTTTTATTATCACATGCTGATTCTCATTGTTTCATTTATTGCTTCACTAAATTTAAGACTGTCTAATATCAACACTGTGGACATGTTTTCTTTTTGTTTGCAGTTTTCTGGTACACCCTCACTATCCCTTAACTTTCAGCTTTGCTTAGATAGGCTCATTATATAAAACATTTCCCTATACAGAGCAAGATTTTGCTTTGCGACTTTGAGAGCTCTTTTTCTTTAATGGAGAGTTTCTATTTACATGTATTGCTGTAAATGATAGGTCTGGTTTTTTTCTTCCTTTTTTTGGTAACAATTTTGTTGGGCTGTAATTCTCATACAATGTAATTCACCATTTTAAGTAAACAATTCAGTAGTTTTTAATATATTCACAGATAAGTACAACCATTGCCACAATTTAGAGCATTTGTTATCAGCTCAAAAAAAAAAAAAAAACAGGCCAGGCGCGGTGGCTCACACCTGTAATCCCAGCACTTTGGGAGGCTGAGGCGGGTGGATCACGAGGTCAAGAGATCGAGACCATCCTGGTCAACATGGTGAAACCCTGTCTCTACTAAAACTACAAAAAATTAGCTGGGCATGGTGGCGCGTGCCTGTAATCCCAGCTACTCAGGAGGCTGAGGCAGGAGAATTGCCTGAACCCAGGAGGCGGAGGTTGCGGTGAGCCGAGATCACGCCATTGCACTCCAGCCTGCGTAACAAGAGTGAAACTCTGTCTCAAAAAAAAAAAAAAAAACATGTACCCTTTAGGATACCTTTCTATCTTTCTATGCCTCATAGCCCTAAGAAATCTACTGCTAACTGAACTACTTTCTGCAACTATAGATTTTCTGATTTTTAGAAAGAAAGAATTCATTCTTCAATGCTTAAACATGATTTACTTGTGGGTTTTTTGAGATACTCTTTAACAAGATGAAGAAGTTTCCTCTCATTCCTGAGTTTTTTTACCACTAGAGAATGTTAAATTTTATCAAATGTTTTTTCTGCATCTATTGAAATTGTAGTTTTGGTTTGTACTCTATTGGTCCCTTAATGATGTATTATATTAATTGATTTTCAGATGTTAAACTAAGCTTGCATACCTGGATAAATTCTACCTCATTATGTTAATTCTTTTTAAATTTACTGCATTTGATTTACTAGAATTTTGCTGAGGATTAGGGGGTCCATATAAATAACAGGTATTGAAGCCATTCCTTTGGCTTCAATAGAAGTCTGTATTGGCTTCAATACAGACCAATACCTGTTATTTATACAGACCCCCTCGCCCAATCCTCAGCAAAATTCTAGCAAATATTATATGATGAGTTGCCAATGTTCCTAACAGTGAATTTTAACTTTAGTTATTGCATGTTTTAAGTACAGAATTTCCATGTGATAGCTTTCGATAATTTCTATCTCCATTAATTTTCTCTACTTGATTCAACATTATCATCAGATTTTCCTTTACTTCCTTAATTATGGTTTTCTTCAGTTCTTTGAACATATTTATGATGGCTACTTTGAAGTTTTTGTCTCTTAAATCTAATGTTTACCTCTCTCCCAGGCAGTTTCTGTTGCCTATTTTTTTCCTAATGTGTGGATCATACTTTCTTGTTTCTTTTCATATCTTTAGAATTTTCTTTTCAGGAACTTGACATTTTAGCTAATATATTGTAGCAACTCTGGGTGCTTGTTTCTCCTTTCTAGCACTTGTTAAAGTTCTTTGCTTATTTGCTTGATAACTGGCTGGATTATTTAGTGAGATCTGTTTCCCTTCTTCAGTGTTAAACTGCTGAATTTGCTCCCTGGGAGACAAAGCCTTGGGTAGCCCAGTCATCTTGGAATGACAATGGGATTTAGCAGGGCTCTCTTTGACTATCTTTTTTCCTGACCATACCTATAACTTTACAACTAGCTGGCTGATTGCTCTATTGTTTTCATCAATGCCCTGGGACATAAATTGCTTTATAGAATAATTCAATAAAACTCAAGCTCCTTTGAAAGTACGGTTTCTGAGGTCAATATTTGAGATGTGTTCTAAGCCCAGAAAAGTTTCTCCCAACTGTCTCTTTTTTCTGATTCTATCCTAAAACTTTCTTGCCTGCAAGTTGTCCTGTATCTGATAATATAGTACCAATTTCTTACTCCAATATTTTCCCAATTTTGTTCACTACAATCTCCACTGTTTTTGAGAGCCCCTTTAAGTTCAAACTTCTTTGTGTTCGGTAGTGTAAACTCAGGAGCTCTGCAAACTGGCACACTAGCAAAACAGGTGAATATTATTGTTTTAAAACAACCATTTAAAGTCTCTGGAAGTGGCCCTATATTATAGAACAAATTAAGAAATATATATTACGAAAAATTTACTAAAATTTAATAATAACAGTGAAAGTCTATGGTATTTGAACCAGGACTGCTCCATCTCCCATTCTTACAGCTCAAATACTAGCAAACTGAATTCAATCGCACATTAAGATTACACACCATGATCAAATGGGATTTATACCTGGGAATGCAAGGATGGTTCAACATAGCAAGTTAATAAAAATGATATATCACATTAACAAAATGAAGGACAAAAGCCATATGATCAGCTCAGTTGATACAGAAAAAGCATTTGACAAAATCCAACATCGTTTTATGATAAAAATTCTCAAAAAATTAGGAACAGAAAGAATGTACATCAACAGAATAAAGGCCATATATCAT